AACAAAATCTTAATTAGTTTTTGTTTATTATTATATGTATGCATGCGTTGGCGAGTACAATCTTATAGACACAGTCAAACACCCACATGAAAATAAACCATTTATGAACACATCCATACAAACATCCTTTTCTAAAAAAAACTCACATCGCTCTCCCTCTCCCTACCTACGCCTACGCGCTGACACCTCCTCTCGTCCTCCCACGCCCACCTACCCACCACTACCCACCAATATCCGACACCATCCACATGTCAAAAATTCTTCGATCTTCACCATATTTCTTTCTTCTTTCTTCAAGAACCGAGACGCCATCCTTCAGTCCTCACCACATTTCCTCCTCCTTTCCTTAGGAACCGAGACAGCACCCTTCAGTCCTCATCACATTTCCTCCTCCTTTCCTTAGGAACCGAGACAGCATCCTTCAGTCCTCACCATATTCCTTCGCATTTCCAGGAACTCCGGGCTGTACCTCTCGACTGGTCCCGCGTGGAGGTGTCGTGGGATCCGCCTCTCTTCCCCGGCGGAGATCTCATCTCGTACACGCTCTATTCCAAGGATGCTGAGGGAAAACAGGAGATGAGGGATAACATTGATGCTAATAGTGAGAGGAGGTAGGATGATGATTTTTTTTTTCATTTATCTATCTATTTACTTGTTTATTCAAGTAATGTTAATTCAATGCCTTAAATAGAAGCGACAGAGATTATCGTAATATTCATTCTATTTGAACCTCCATATGATCCCTCACCGGGATTCTACAAAACGCGATTCCGCACCGTATCAGCAACGTAAAATTCGGGGTATCCATTACAGATACATTCTCTCGGAATTATCGGCAAACACAACTTACATCCTCAACCTCACCTCCACCAATCGCCAAGGAGAAGGACCAGCTGTTGTTGCTCAAGTGACAACCTATCCTACAGCTCCTGGTAAGACGCTTCGCTGTTCAGTGTGTCTTTTTTATCTTTTTTTTAATTCCTTTTTTATAGGGAGGGGAGGGGAGGGGAGGGGGTATTTACATGGGTCGTTACTCGCTATTGACCCTGGGAAGATATTTCTGCATTTTCGTATTTTTGTTTGTTATTGTACTAATGTGTGTTTTCCTATCCTGAGTTCGTTGTGTTTCTCGAATTTCATATGTCCTTTAATGTTTATGTGTATATATATATATATATATATATATATATATATATATATATATATATATATATATATATATATATATATATATATATATATATATATGTATATATATATATATATATATATATATATATATATATATATATATATATATATATATATATATATATATATATATATATATATAGTTTTTTTCCTTATGTATCGTATGTTTAGTAAAGTCAACAAGATCAGTAATTGATGAAGAATGAGTCCATTCACAGCCAACGACTAGTTGAATTTCAGTATTCAAGTACTGCTGTATTAATATATCACATTTTCTTATTACAGCTGTTGACGATGGCCAGGGTTACCTGCTACTTACCTCAGGGTCAAGGATCTTAAAACTAGGACTAGATATTACGGACGCTCCTCAACATCTGTATAACGTATCGGAGCACCTCAATATTACAGGCTAGTAAAACAGGATGGTTCTTTCTTTTCCTATTAAATCATAATGATTTCGTTCGTATGACTAAATCGCCTCATTGAAAGCGACTTGGGTATTATATAATCAAAAGATATCCACATTTTTTAATACTAGTTACTTCGTATACTTGATAAGCAGTCTGATACTCATCAGTTTCACGTCTCACATTTTCTTTGATCATGGCCTTATATTCCATACGTTATGTGATTATTTCTATCTTACTGATTCATTAACCTGCTTATTTCTCATGCGCAGGAATGGCTGTCTATATTCCCTACGACGTGATCTTCATCAGTGACACCGGCGGCTCCATCACGCAGCTGATCCCATCTACGAAAAAAGTCTACACGCTGTTGACTCAAAACCACCTCTATGGCTACCCACTGAGCCTCTCTGTCGACTGGCTCTACAATCACCTCTACTACATCGTGCACTTAGAGCCTACAGTGAACAACGTGTGGCAGTTATGGAGGTGCAACCTGTACGGAAAACAACCAGTGCTGATCTACGGGGAACTCCATTACGAGCCGAAGCACCTACAGGTGGACCCTTACAATGGGTAAGTTATCCCTATTTTGTCGTTATTGAGGAAAAAAAGAAAACGAGGTGTATGATTGTAGGATAATGAAATAGGACGGAGAGAGAAAAAAAAATGAAATATAAAATGAAATCAGTCTATTAACACATGCTATCAATTTTTCCTTAGGTAGACACTTTCAATGGGCCATTTATTCATATCATTCGTTAGTTGAAGAAGAAAGTGAAATTTATTAATGTAGGATATCGTGATGACAGTAACAGAAAAAAAGAGAAAACATAAAATGAAACAGACTTCAACCACACAAGCTTGTTTTCATTTATTTCCTAAGGAATATCAATACAACACAGTCCCTAACCTCCGTATACAATTCATCCAACAGGCATTATCAATAACAAACGTCTCTCTTCCAACCTCAGATATATCTGGTGGATCTCCGAGGACGTGGACGGGGGACTGTACCGCCTTGACATGAATGACAGCGACGAGACGAGGGAGCCTGAGATCGTGCTGAGTTCCCCCGAGCTGGACTTGGGCGGCCTGGTGCTCGACCCGCCCAACTTCCAGGTCCTCGTGGCAGACAGGAAGAACAACGCGATGCTTGCTGTGTCTCTGGACGGGTTGGTGCTCCCGGGTTGATGCGTTTCGGTTGTGGTTGATAGTTGTAGTATTGATAGTAGTTATTGTTGTTATTGCTATTATTACTATTATTACGACTATGACTGTTATTAGTAGTACTACCTCTACTACTATCACAACTGTTACTGTTGCTACTACTTCTACTTCTACTACTACTACTGTTACTACTGTTACTACTGTTACTACTGTTACTATTACTACTACTACTACTACGTCTGCTGCTTGCACTCCTACTACTTAGACTACTATTACTAATACTATTTCTGTTAATACTTCTTTTACTACCATTATGAATACCGTTTTTTTTATCTAAAGTAATTGTAACAGTAGTAATAGATGTAATAGTGGTTATAAACATTGGTTTATGTTTCTTAATATCCCTCTTCACTCCTTCCTCTTTAGAAAACAAATGGAAAATTAACCCATTTCACTAGCGCAATAAATTGCAACTTTATGCATTATTCTTGCCTCACTCTCACTAAATCCTTTCAATCGACACCAACCTACCAATTCTCATTTTAACCTTTTTTTTCCAGCACATCGGTTACCAACCTCCGTGCCAACACCCAGCGCGCCTTCTTCCAGCACCTGAAGTCGGTCGTACACCTGAACAGCCGCTTCATCTGGACTGATGGCAGTGAAGTCTACACTGAGGAACTTAATGATGGCACTTTCTATCATATTAGGTAGGTGGCATTTTCATTATTATTTATTTATTTAGTCTGTTTTTGTTATTGTTATCATTTAACTTGGTGTTGTTTTCATTCATGTGTTTTTGTTATCATCATCATCATCAATCATCAGTCATCATCATCATCATCATCATCATCAATCATCATCAATCATCAATCATCAATCATCAACCATCAATCATCAATCATCAGTCATCATCATCATCATATATCATCATCATCATTATTATTACTATACTTACCATCCTCCTTATGGGTTTGCCTCCACACACGGCCTAAAGCAACCTTGACTCTCCCCTTCGCAGTTACGTTGTGATGAACAGCATGAACACCGTAGACGTCGGGACCCTCGTCGCTGTTCACGGTTCAACACAGCCTGTTCCTGTTCCACTCAATCCACCGACTGATCTGCAGGCTGTGTTCACTCGCACTACTGCGTCCCTGCGCTGGAATGCCCCGGCTCTGCCTGCGCTTATGGGTATGTTGATGTTGTGGTGCTATGTTGATGGTGATGAAATTATGTTGAAGTTGTGGTGCTATGTTGATGGTGATGAAATTATGTTGATGTTGTGGTGCTATGTTGATGGTGATGAAATTATGTTGATGTTGTGGTGCTATGTTGAAGATGATGAAATTATGTTGATGTTGTGGTGCTATGTTGATGGTGATGAAATTATGTTGATGTTGTGGTGCTATGTTGGTGGTGATGAAATTATGTTGATGTTGTGGTGCTATGTTGATGGTGATGAAATTATGTTGATGTTGTGGTGCTATGTTGATGGTAATGAAATTATGTTGATGTTGCGGTGGTGGTGCTATGTTGATGGTGTTGCTGTGTTGATGGTGGTGAAATTATGTTGATGTTGTGGTGGTGGTGCTATGTTGGTGCTATGTTGATGCTACGCTGGTGGTCTTGTCTTGATATTGCGTTGTGTAGAAAACTTTTGTATGTATCCTGAGACGGATTTTTTGCTTTCATATCGTGCCGTGACGCAATGAAGTTACATAAAATCGATCCACATCGGTACTGAATGCTGTGTCAAAATGATTACAACAAAAGAAAATATGTCGTAATTAATTTTATCCCCCCCCCCCCAGGCTCGCGTGCATGGCAAATGTGGCGCTATGAGGTTCACATCCAGGAAGGACGGAAGACAATTTCGGACAAAAACATAACAATGACAACATACCAGGCCGTTAATCTAAGGCCGGGAACTTTTTATATCATCAAGGTAAGAAAGTGAAGTATATTTCTAATATTCTATTTATTTATTTATTTATTATTATTTTAATTATTATTATCATTATTATTGTCATTATTATTATTAATTGCGTAGATATAATTGTATTGTTAATGTAGTGTGTATTCTAATATATGTAATATGAACTAATCTTGAGCTAGAGTGATATAGACAAAGCATTCATAACAAAGATATTATGAAAAATACTCTTGAATATTGATGATACACAAGAAGCATTCTTATCTAAACTATTTCCATAATCGAATAATATGCGAAACATCGAAAAAATATTAAATGTTCTTGAATTTTGATATCTGATATGAGTCACATATAGTAAAACAGTCACCACAACCAAACGAATATATTCACATAAATCAAATTCCCCAAAGCAACGACATTTAAGAGAAAATAAACAGTCCCAACAATAAAGCGATAAATAAGAGTAATAAAAGTAATCTATGAATGAACAAAAAGAGAGGCATGATATTTACATGTAATCCTTCAATCCTTCACAGGTCCAGGCGTACTCCCGGGGGGGAAAAGGGCCCTGGAGTCGGGAATTCCGAGGTCGTACTTTAGACGCCACGGACGACGCCCCTCAGTTGGTGTGGGCGACGGAGGACAAGATAGTCATGTCGAATCTCGTCGGGAGTGACAGTTCGGTGCTCGTGCCTCAAGAAACATTGCAGGTATAGGGTTGGGGTTATTCTTTAATGGTTTAATGTCTGGTCTTTCTTTTTCTTTCTCTCTTTCTCTGTCTCTTTGTCGATCTTTTGTCTGTCTCTCTCTCTTTGTCGATCTCTCTCTCTCTCTCTCTCTCTCTCTCTCTCTCTCTCTCTCTCTCTCTCTCTCTCTCTCTCTCTCTCTCTCTCTCTCTCTCTTCTCTCTCTCTCTCTCCTCCTCTCTCTCTCTCTCCTTCTCTCTCTCTCTCCTTCTCTCTCTCTCTCTCTCTCTCTCTCTCTCTCTCTCTCTCTCTCTCTCTCTCTCTCTCTCTCTCTCTCTCTCTCTCTCTCTCTCTCTCTCTCGTTTCTACAGATGTATCCTGTTTAGTTGTTTTTTTAAATATTTCTTTTATAATCACCATCATCAGTTTTGATGATGTAATTGTTGTTAGCAGCAGTAGTAGTAGCAGCATCCTTCTCATTATTAGTTATGCTCTTGCATCTCAGAAAAAAAATCTTTGCATACGTCATGTATGTTGACTTTCAGTAAAAATGCTTTATAAAAATGCTGATATGTTCGTAATCTCATTTTTTCACTCAGAGGATATCTGCAATTCCTAAACTCAATTGAAGTCCTTAACGCTGACCCTCTCTTATCTCCTCCTATCTCTCTCGCAGACGAAGCTGAAAGGCGAGAAGATCGTGGACCTGGCTTTTTTTCGAGATACTCTGGTTATGGCTGTGAGCAACCAGAGCGTCTTTTTGATGAACATGACAGCCTCGACATTTGCTGAAGTGCCCAACACTCACGGCGTCCTCTCGGTCTCCGTGGACTGGCTCACACAGCGCCTATTCTGGGCTAATCCTCACAGGCAGATGGTGGGTCCTGGGGATGTCTGTTTGGCTTATTACTCGATGTCTGTTGGGGTGTTTTGTATGTGTTTGGTTGTGTATCCTTCTTGTACCTGCAAGTATATTTTTCCTTCTTCGCTCTTCGTTATTCAGTCATCCCTTCTTCTCCTTAAACCTCACTCACTCACTCTCCTCCACATTATCTCCCTCCTCCCCCCCAAAGAATCCTCAATCCTCCCCCTGTTTGTTCAACCCTTTTCCCTCATTCCTTAACCTTCCTCTTCCCCTCAACATTCCCTCCCTCCCCCTCCTAACCCTCAACCCTCATTCCCTCTCCTGAACCGTCCTTCCTTTCTCCCCTCCTTCTTTAACTCTACTCCCGTCCCTCTCTCCTCCCCCACTCCTCCCTCCCGTCCTCCTTCCTTCCCTCCCTCCTCCTCCTCCTCCCAACCCTCCCTCATTTCCCAATCCTCTAATCCTCCATTCCCTCCCGCAGATCGGGTGGTCGAGCCTGCAGGGGACGTCGCAAGGGCCCCTGAATGTGGTCACGGCCGCCAGGGAGGTCCGCGTGGACGCCCTTCACGGCCGCCTCTTCTGGACGACGCCCCACGGCCTCCTCGTCTCGACTCTGGCCGGCAGGAACGTCTCCACGATCCACCAGGAAGGCATCTTCAGTGGCAAACAAGGTAAGGAGGAGTGTTTGTTTCACTGGATGTTTATTTCACTTAGCTTTAGCTTTATTTTAATTTGTTTACTTATTTTCGTGTTTCATTCATTCTCTTATTTTCATGTTTCACTTATTTACTTATTATTGATGTTTCATTTATTTACTTATTATTGATGTTTCATTTATTCATTAAGCGTATGTTTATTCACTTTATAATCCGTTATTTGTTTTACTATTTATTTCTTCCTCTATCACAGTCATCATCATTATCATAATCACCACTATCATTTTTATCACTATTGCCATTGAGATTTTCTTAAAAAATCAAAACTATATTTTACTGCTATAATTTCGTACAGACAGACTGAACAAAACAAACCTGTCTTATTTTCAGTGTATGGGCTGACAGTGGACACCTTTGGAGCGCGTATTTGGTGGATTGTCCGAGATGGCGAAGGTTGTAAGCTGTTTGGTGCTTCGATGAAGGACAAGGTTGTTAAGTTTCCTACCAAGGCGCTTCCGCAACCGGTTATGCTTGGTGAGTTTTTGCTTTGTTTGCTTGTTTTTTTTCTTTTTTGGCGTAAGTTATGTTTGTCATGAAAATAGTGGATGTTATACGTTTTTGTATTTGTATATATGGCTTCACATCAAGAAAAAAATATGTGCTTAGGCATATCTTTATATATGTATAAACACACACACATACGCAAACACACATACACAAACAAACACGCACTAACAAACACAGACACACAACCCACACAACCATCTCCTACCACAAGTACCCGCCACCAACACAATTAACCGAAGGCGTCTCCCTTGCCACGCCCTTCAGGCCCCATGTGGTACCTGAGCGAGCGCCTCCTGTGGCTCGGGGAGGACGGGGACCTGGTGGTGTCGGACACGAGCCTCAACAACTCGGCCGCCCTGCACACCTCCAGCCTGGGCATGTTGCATTTCACCGTTATCTTGCCCGATTTGCAACCCATGCCAGGTAGGTCGTATGAGCTTATTTTTTCGGCTTTGGTGCTGTCATTTGGTTTTGCTTCAATCGTTTGTTTTCCAGTGATGGTAATAACAAGGCTCTTAATTATTGTTCTTATTATTAACATCGTTATTGTTATTATCATTATTCTTATTATTGCTGTCCTAAGGGGTTTCATAGTTCCTACTTAAAACGCTCTATTTAAATAGATTCGAAATGTTATAGAGAAGCCATATAAGATACTTTCCTTTTATATACTCTACTTACGGCGTTATCCAGCCTTTCTTTAATCTCCTTTATCCCTCTTCCGTCTTCCCCCAGCCAACGTGCTCGAGCCCCACGTGATCCCGGGCCAGATCGACGAGACCTCCGTGGTGGTGGAGGGGACGTGGGAGGAATTCGTGCTCCGGTGGTCTCCCATCACCAACATCAACTACGGCAACCTTCTGTACGAGGTCATCATCGACAACGGCGCCGGCAAGAAGGCGATCCTGACCAGAAACAACTCCATTCCTTACGAGGAGAAGCTGCCCCCATACTCTCCCCTGAAGTTGTCCGTGAGGGGCATCACGGACTGGAGTGTCGGCACGAGGCTCATCAAGACCATACGGACTCCAGCGTCGCTGCCCGGCCCTCCTCAGGACCTGCGGACGTTCGTGCAGAAGGTGCAGGTAAGGGGCGAAGTGACTGGATACTGATTAGTTGTTTCATAGATTGATTAGCTGTTTTATAGATTGGTTCGCTGTTTTATGACTGTAGAGGATGTCGCTTTCGTTTTTAATAAGAAGTGCTACTTAGATAACTGTTGAAGGCCTGTGTTCAGTTCACACTATTTATGTGATGTGTTTTGATTGATAGCCAGTAGACTCTAACTCAGCATTTCATATAAATAATACTGCCATAACAGAATCACCCAGAAAGAGCATTTTATCTAATCGTATTAGAGACTGATCATCAGCTAATATCTCTAATAAATCCTTTGTTAACGTAGTTCCTTCCCTTTCTCTACAAAATAACTATAACAAAATACCCCACTCGCCCCGCTGGCACAGGACACAGTTGCAATCATTCACTTGCGCTGGTCGGCCCCCGAAAAGCCGAACGGGGAAATAACATCGTACGAGGTGATCTACTGTGCCGGGGAGAGCGACGGGGGATGCAGGAGCGTCTCGGTGGAGGGGAGCCAGAACCAGGTCATGGTGGAGGACCTCAGTCCCGATCAAGTCTACAGGTTCAAAGTATGGATCGACTGGGAATTTTGTTGTTCTCTTGTGGGTGGAATTTGGATATTTTTGGAAAGATGGATTTGCATGTTCGCATGTCTTAACGTGTTTTAGATTTATAGTAATCCTACATGGAATTGTATCTGTATCAAAGTAAATACTAACTATAACCTAATTTACTGAGCATATGCAACAGAGGCAAAGTAAGCGCTTCACCCATGTGAATTTCCACTTCAAGGTTGCCGCTGTGAACGAAATAGGCAAAGGGCCTTACAGTTCCGATGTGACAGAGGGCCTGCAACAGCACATGCCCACTCCTTCCCTCATCGTAGTCGCCGGGGAAGCTCTGATGAAGCTGGACGCCGACCTGCAGGAGGAGAGAGAGATCCTGAGTGAGAATTCGAGAGTGCAGTGGGTGTCCGCTCTCCTCTCCAATTCCTCCTTCGCTTGGATGGACATGAACTCTGACGTTTATATTACGCATCTGACCACGAATTATACAGAGAGGGTTAGTAACTCTCAACTCACCTTAAGTTACACTGTTATTCGTCTATTATGATATAAACATTTGCCCCGTCTTTGTGTAATCAAACATATTAATCTCCATTAACCAAAGATACAAAATTACCCAAACTCATCAACCGAAAAGATATTCACCAGACGAATAAGTAATCAACCCCCCACCCCGCAGCTCCTCCGTCTGGGCGGCCAGGGCGTGGGTTTGGCCGCAGACTGGGTCGGGGAGATCATCGTGTGGGCCGAGAGACCGTCCGTGGGCTCGAGGGATATCAGCCTCCAGATGCTCGAGATCGAATACAAGACCAAGAAATCTCTCGCTAAAATCAACTTGAGTGATCCCATCAAGAAATTCTTGCTGTCACCCGCC